GAAGTCAAAAGAAAATAAAATTTTAAATTAAAAATTCAAATATTTGAAAGAAAGGAGCAGAAATGGGTCAGGAATGTTTTCATTCTATTAAAAAAAAACAGGAGTTAAATTAAAAAAAAAAAGGAGTTAAATTTAAAAAAAGAGTTAAATTTAAACAAGAGTTAAATTAAAAAAAGTTAAATTATAGATTTTAAAGTTATTATTTCCATTTACAACGAGAAAAATAAATAAGGAGAGGAAAATCAGAGTTTTGGTTTTGTTGGGTTGGGTTTTGTTGGGTTTGGTTTTGTTGGATTTGGTTTTGTTGGGTTCGGGTTTTGCTGGACTTTGTTGGGCTTGGTTTGGTTGTTTGGGTTTGGTTTGGTTGGGTTGGGTTTTGTTCGGTTTGGGTTTTGTGGGGTTTGATTTTGTTTGGGTTTTGTTGGGTTTGATTTGGTTTTGTTTTGTTCGGTTTGGGTTTTCCCTAAACTCAGCACAAAATGAGCTGTGGCCCTAAACCCAGCACAAAATGAGGTTTTTTCCCCAAACCCAACACGAGCTGAGCACAGAACTGGACTCAGGCAGGAAACCCCAGTCCCCTGCAGCCCAAAACCAGTGAGACCAGTCCGAGATTCCCAGTGGGACTGGGATGGCAGAAACTCGAGACAGAGCAGAGACAAACAGGGCGGGGAATCCAACCCCAAAACGGCTCCTTTTGGGGTCGTTCCCTAAGAAAACCCCACAGAAGCGTTGGGATGGCAGAGGTGAGAACTGACCCCAAAAACCCAACACAAAATGAGCTCTGGCCCTAAAACCAGCACAAAATGAGGTTTTCCCCCAAAACCAACACGAGCTGAGCACAGAACTGGACTCAGGCAGGAAACCCCAGTGCCCTGCAGCCCTAAACCAGTGAGACCAGTCCGAGATTCCCAGTAGGACTGGGATTGCAGAACAAACAGGGCAGGGATTTCAGCCCCAAATTCGCTCCTTTTGGGGTCATTCCCAAACAAAACACCACAGAAGTGTTGGGATGGCAGAGGAGATGAGAACTGACCCCAAAACCAGCAGGAAATGAAGCTTTTCCCCCAACCCAGCACAAAAGGAGCTCTGGCCCTAAAACCAACACAAAATGAGGTTTTTCCCCAAACCCAACACGAGCTGAACACAGAACTTGACTCGGCAGAACTTGACCCCAGTGCCCTGCAGCCCTAAAACCAGTGACACCAGTCCGAGATTCCCAGTGTGACTGGGATGGAGCTGCTGGGATTGCAGAACAGCCAAACAGGACAGGGAACCCAACCCCAAATTCGCTCCTTTTGGAGTCGTTCCCCAACAAAACCCCACAGAAGTGTTGGGATGGCAGAGGAGATGAGAACTGACCCCAAAACCAGCACAGAACTGGACTCGGGCAGGAAACGCCAGTGCCCTGCAGCCCCAAAACCAGTGAGACCAGTCTGAGATTCCCAGTGGCACCGGGATGGCAGAAGAGCCAAACAGGGCAGGGATTTGAGCCCCAAATTCACTCCTTTTGGGGTGATTCCCCCAAACCCCACAGAAGGCGGCACAGATGGTCCCTGGGATGTGGATCCTCAGGGCAGCTCCGCGGAGGTGACGCTGCATTTTCGGGTTTTGGGCGGCGGAGGGGGAGGTTTGGCCTCGCGTCTGCTCGGCAGCGGCGGAGCCACCTGAGCGGGGGGAAATGAGAAAATAGAAATGATAAAATCAAATAAATATCAATAAATATCAAATTAAAATAATAAATAAATATCAATAAACAAATCAAATAAATATAAGTAATACAATCAAATAAAAATAATAAAATCAAATAAATGTCAATAAAAAATCAAATAAAAAATCACATCGAATAAATATAAATAATAAAATCAAATAAATATATGTAATAAAATCAAATAAATATAATTTTGTGGTTTCAAGAGGTGAAATGATGAAACGAAGTTCAAGCAGCAGCCTGGAAAGTTCCAGAGGTTTTCCCAAGCTCTGTCCCGTTTTTATGTCTCTGTTTTTTTTATGTCTCTGTTTCCCAAAAAAAATTGGGAAATTTTTTTTTCCCATTTTTTCCCCCGTTTGCTCACCCTTAGAGCTTGGAAAATTCCAGATGTTTTTCCCAAGCCCTGTCCCTTTTTTCTCCCCATTTTTTCCCATTTCTCACCTCGGCAGAGTTCCTGGGGGTGCTGCTCTCGTAGGGTTTGCTTTTGGGAGGGGGTGGGGGCGGCGTGGCCAAACCGTCGCTCTGCAGGGAGGGGAAACCTGGGAGGGGGAAATCAGGGAAAATGAGGGGAAATCAGGGAAAATAATATAGGAAAATCAGACAAAATAATAAGGCAAAATCAGGGAAAATCATAAGGGAAAATCAGGAAAGGAGAAGAAAAGAAGAAGGAAAGAAAAAGAAAAGAAGAAAAGGAAGGAAGAAGGAAGGAAAACATATCTGGAATTTTCCATATGCTGGAATAGTACAAATTCTGGAACATTCCATATTCTGTGCTATCCCATATTCTGTGGTATCCCACACTCTGTGCCACCCCACACTCTCGAACACCCCATATTCTGTAATATCCTATATTATATTCTGGATTATCCCATATTCTATAACACCTCATATTCTGTAAAGCTCATACCCTGCAACATCCACATTCTGCAATATCCCACATTCTTCAATATCCCATATTCTGAGGTATCCCATACTCTGTAATATCCCATATTCTGTGACACCCCACACTCTGTAATGCCCCATATTCTGCAATAACCCATACTCTGTAATATCCCATATTCTGTAATATCCCATATTCTGTGGTATCCCATGTTCTGCAATATCCCATATTCCGTGGTATCCCATATTCTGCAATATCCCATACTCTATGGTATCCCATACTCTGTAACACCCCACACTCTGTAACACCCCATATTCTGTAATACCCCACACTCTGTAATGCCCCATATTCTGCAATATCCCATATTCTGTGAATCCCATACTCTGTAACATCCCATATACTCTGTGGTATCCCATATTCTGCAACACCCCACACTCTCTAATGCTCCACATTCTGCAATACCCCATATTCTCTAACACCCCACATTCTCTACCACCCCACACTTTACCACCCCACACTCTTTAACACCCCACACTGTAACACCTCACACTAATACCCCACACTCTGTAACACCCCATATTCTCTAACACCCCATATTCTGTACCACCCCACACTCTCTAACACCCCACATTCTGACACCCCACACTTTACCCCACACTCCAGACCCCCCAGACTCACTGTGGGTGCGGGGGGTCCTGGGGGTGCCGCCGGGGGGGCTGCGGGGTGCCGGTGCCAGTGATGGTGACAGTGACGGTGACACTGATGGTGACAGTGACAGTGATGGTGACAGTGACAGTGATGGTGATGGTGGCGGCTGCAGCGGGGAGCCCTGCAGCAGGCTCAGCCTGCCATCCCCCAGCTGCAGGCTCTTGGGCCGGGGAGCCTTTCCTGCTGCACCCTGGGGAGAGCAGAGATAAAATCCCTTCAGGTGACCCCAGAGAGGTGAAATGGGGATGTGACTTCGGTACAAAAAATGGGACAGAAGGACAAAGCCCTGCCCTGGGTGACCAAAGGCTCCCTGAGGGATCTCTGGCACTGCCTGTCCTCCCCTGGGCTCTTGGGCCTGGGAGCCTTCCCTGCTGCACCCTGGGGAAAGACAAAAACCCTTCAGGTGACCCCAGAGAGGTGAAATGGGGATGTGACATTGGCACAAAAATGGGGACAGAGGGACAAAGCCCTGCCCTGGGTGACCAAAGGCTCCCTCGGTGTCCCCAGGCATTGCCCGTCCTCCCCTTGGCCGTTGGGCTTGGGAGCCTTTCCTGCTGCACCCATGGGAGAGCAGAGACAAAAACCCTTCAGGTGACACCACAGAGTTGCAACAGAGCTGTGACATTGGCACAAAAATGGGGACAGAGGGACAAAGCCCTGCCCTGGGTGACCAAAGGCTCCCTGAGGGATCCCTGGCACTGCCTGTCCTCCCCTGGGCTCTTGGGCCTGGGAGCCTTTCCTGCTGCACCCATGGGAGAGCAGAGATAAAATCCCTTCAGGAGAGCCCAGAGAGGTGAAATGGGGATGTGACATCGACACAAAAATGGGGACAGAGGGAGGTGGACATCATGTCCTGGGTGAACAAAGGCTCCCTGAGGGATCCCTGGCATTGCCCGGCCTCCCCTGGGCTCTTGGGCCTGGGAGCCTTCCCTGCTGCACCCATGGGAGAGCAGAGACAAAATCCCTTCAGGAGACCCAAGAAAGACCAAACAGAGCTGTGACATTGGCACAAAAATGGGAATGAGGGACAAAGCCCTGCCCTGGGTGACCAAAGGCTCCCTGAGGGATCCCTGGCACTGCCTGTCCTCCCCTGGGCTCTTGGGCCTGGGTGCCTTTCCTGCTGCACCCATGGGAGAGACAAAATCCATTCAGGAGAGCCCAGAGAGGTGAAATGGGACTGTGACATTGACACAAAAATGGGGACAGAGGGACAAAGCCCTGCCCTGGGTGATCAAAGGTCCCCTCAGTGCCCCCTTTGGGCCTCAGAGCCTTTCCTGCTGTACCTTGGGGAGAGCAGAGACAAAATCCATTCAGGTGACCCCAGAGAGGTGAAACAGAGCTGTGGCATTGGCACAAAAATGGGGACAGCGGGACAAAACCCTGCCCTGGGTGACCCAAGGCACTGTCAGGCCCCGCTTTGGGCCTTCCCTGCTGCACCCTGGGGACAGCAGAGACAAAATCCCTTCAGGTGACCCCAGAGAGACCAAACAGAGCTGTGACATCGACACAAAAATGGGGACAGAGGGAGGTGGACACATGTTTTGTGACATCAACACAAAAATGGGGACAGAGGGACAAAGCCCTGCCCTGGGTGACCAAAAGCTCCTTGGATTTGCATTTCTGTCATTAGGATGATGAATTTTTTTTTTACCGTTTTGGAAGCTGTCTCCTTCTCCAC